ATGTGGGTGCAGGCGGTTTGACATAATTTTTTTGACAAGAATTTTCCTCCGATAGCAAGTAGTGAAATTCCTCGGTAGTTTCCGCAGTCTGATGCACTTACTTTGTTCTTAAATATATTCACTATATTCGCGTTGCAAAAGTCCTGAAGTACCTCTCCGCTTTTCCATATGAGATCGAAGAGAGCCTTAAGATTACCAATAAGTTCTTTACTTGCCTACTTATAGATTTCCGCCGGAATCGCGTCACAGCCAGCTTTGTTTTTTTTAAGCTGTTTTAATACTTTCTTCTCTTCAATAGTGCACCAAGTGTCAAAACTAACGATATTCATAAAAATATTCTAGAAAAATACAATAATTCACGATATACATTTCTTGTTGAATTTAATTTTAAAACACTAACAGAAGATAAAGTTAAAGTGGAAACCTAACCTAACCTAACCAACTCATTAGATCAATAAAAAGCAATGCTACAGGATCGGATAACATTAGCTCGAAAATGTTATTATGTGTTTTTCCTTACTACCCCTTATCTTACTTTTATTATCAATCAATGTTTTAAAGAATGTACCTTCCTAATTGCTTGGAATCTATCTAATATTGTTCCTATAGAAAAAAAGAGTAGTCCTCTGGAGCAATCTGATTACCGACCAAATAGTATATTACCACCTCTTTCCAAGGTGTTGGAAAAGTCCGTAGCTAATCACTTAAATCAGTTTCCTATAGATAATAATATACTGCCTTATTGTCAATCGGGATTTAGATCTAGCTTTAAAAGTAGGTATTATAACATAACATATTAGCTTAAGACTCATTTACATTTGTCACTTTGGATGTACAACTTGGATGAATCATCCAAAGTGATAAGTATAAATTGCCTTTCATCACTGTTTAATCCAAAGTGTACACTAAAATTGAATGATGAAACAAGTTGACGGTCTCCCTACTTTTGTTGAAAGAAGCGTTCAACGAACCGTTGATTCATCCAGATTGAACGGCAAGTGAAAAATATAAACAGCCGACACCGACCCGTGCGGCCAACCTTGATATAGAAAAAAAAAAAAAACACTGAGAAATTGGCAGCCTGCTGAAGATGAAACAGTGAACTGTTGCGAACTGGATGAAAATATGTAAACAAGGATGTTCAATTTGGATGAATTCAATCTGAGTGATTCATTTTGGTTGTACATCTAAAGTGACACAGTGTAAACTATGCTTTGCTGCTCATTTTACATTTTACTTTTGATGTACAACTTGGATGAATCATCCAGTGATAAGTATAAATTGCCTTTCATCATTGTTTCATCCAAAGTGTACACTAAAATTGTATGATGAAACAAGTTGACGGTCTCCCTACTTTTGTTGAAAGAAGCGTTCAACGAACCGTTGATTTATCCAGATTGAACGGCAAGTGAAAAATAAATGTAAACA